AGCGGGACCCCAGGTGGAGAACCTGCTCTTGACAGTTACCCCACAAATTATTATTATTATTTTTTTTTTTTAAAAGATGACCGGGGGGCCGGCCCGTGGCTCACTCGGTAGAGTGCGGTGCTGATAACACCAAGGCCCCGGGTTCGGATCCCATATAGGGATGGCCGGTTCGCTCACTGGCTGAGCGTGGTGCTGACAACACCAAGTCAAGGGTTAAGATCCCCTTATCGGTCATCTTTAAAGAAAAAAAAAAAAAGATGACCGGGAAGGGGATCTTAACCCTTAGCTTGGTGTTGTCAGCACCACGCTCAGCCAGTGAGCGAACCGGCCATCCCTACATGGGATCCGAACCCGAGGCCTTGGTGTTATCAGTACCGCACTCTCCCGAGTGAGCCACGGGCCGGCCCTTACCCCACAAATTATGAACCCACCTTGCATCTGGCCCTGTCCCCACCTCTGGCCTTTCCCATCTTTCAAAGGCCCAAACACTTAGCTGGGGGTTGTCAGCACTCTGTGAGGAACTCCTGTGGGAATGGCCCTAGTTCAAGTGCGCCTTCCTCCCAGTCAAAAGCGCTTAGTCAGTAAGGCTCTGTAGTCTGTCTCCTTTTAAAACAGCGCCTGTCTCCCGGTCTAGACCAGGGTCCTTGAGGCAGAATCTCTCCAATCACTCCCCAGCCCCCCTTTATAAACTGGCTTAGAGACCAGGGAGAAAAAATAAGATAAAGAACAGAGATAGTATCTTACGAAAAGTGAGAAGGAAGCTGGGGAAGGGTGAGCTGTGGATAGCTGGACCTCAAGGGAACAATAACAACATCTAGACACTCTTGAGATAGCTGTGGCTGAGTGGTAACCAGAGAAACAGCTACCCACATCCCTGGGGTGGGGAGAGGACCTCAAGGAGCCAGCACATTTGCCAGTCTCCCCTGACATGCCCTATCTACATATGTCTTCCCTGCCACCCTTTATCTTGGCCCTGTGTGGCGCGCCATTGCATGCAAAATGCTAGCACAGGGCTTGGCCCTTAGCAGGTACTCAGTGAGTGTCTTGGATGGAAAGGCTGTTATTTCCATCAGAAACTACTCTGTCAGGCCCTTCCTTAAGACTGAGTTTGGGTGCTTGTCTTTTCCAAGCCAAGCAGGAGTAACACAGCTTCCAGAACTATGTTCTAGACAGCCTTAAATGTCTTGTCCTGTAGTTGTAATTAAAAATGCAGGATGGAGGCAAGAATACCCATTTCCTTAAGACTGAGTTTGGGTGCTTGTCTTTTCCAAGCCAAGCAGGAGTAACACAGCTTCCAGAACTATGTTCTAGATAGCCTTAAATGTCTTGTCCTGTAGTTGTAATTAAAAATGCAGGATGGAGGCAAGAATACCCAGCCTCACAATTGGGCTCCCTGAGAGTAGTTGATGAGGATAGCAGATCCCATTTCCCTTACCTCTTAAACACCCAGACTCACCTCCTGCCGGTGGTAAGAGGTGTTTAGAAAGCCATGGTAGCGCTGCCGCAGTGCCTGGCCCAGCTCCCAGTGCTGTAGCATCCCCTCCTGTGGGCAAACACAAGGGTTAAGAAGGGAAGGTTCACAAGCCCCACGGGGTTTAGGCACAGTTGCTTTCCAGGTTTACCCCTGACTGGAAGTAGGAGTGGATTCATCTGATCCCAGAAGTCATTTATTAGGTGGCTGGTTGTGCATGACGCTGTCCTGGGCACAGGATAAAATAAGGTTCAGATATCTGGTCAAATTCTGCACCCATAAAGGCAGCACCTATAAAGGGCAGTTTCGTGGGGCCCCAAGTTCTGTAGCCTGTTTAGAGATCACAAATTCTACAGCTCATCCTGAGGGAGGGCTGACTTCTGACCCACCTTGGTGAGTTGACCAAACCCCTGGGGCCATTCCTCTTCCTGATAGGGGTCCTTGGGATATGTCTTCACTGGTGAACGGTCTCCATGTCGGTACAGCTGAGGATAGAAAATAGTTTCCCTATATACGTCAAAAGGGTCTCCTTGATGGGTACACAGAGCCCACCTTTGCCCCATGTTGAGGAAGGAAGCCTCACGCCCTCTGGGAAGCCTACCCACTGCAAAAGCCCCCAGTTCGGGAGTCAGTAACTTCTTCCAGGTTCCAGAGATTCTAATTTGGCTAAGCAATGTCACTAGAGACCACAGGCAAAGCCAAAGGTGTAGGTAGGTGGGTGGCTGGCTGGTTAGCTCAACTGGTTTGGGCATGGTGCTGATAACACCAAATATACAGGTGGGAAGGGAAAAGAAAAGTGAAAGCAACGTATACGGTGGGAAAATTGAAAAAAAAAATCACCAAAGGCTTCTTTAGGAATGTCTCTTAACCGTTCAGTTACATCCCTGTCCCAGGGCAGACTCACCCCGACCTACCCCCGATACAGAACTCCTTACCCCGCCCTGCCCCCAACAAATAACCCTGGGCTCCACACCAGTTCTGAACCTAGCCCCCCAAATCCCCAGGCCAGTCGTTTCCTAAACCAGCTCGTCCTGGAGACCCCCGACCCCCAGCACAAGCCCCGCCCCTCCCGACACCAGCGGGCCTTTGCCCTTCTCGCTCTGGCAAACTCTTTGGTGACCACGCCTCATTACCAAGGTAACGAAGCGTAGACTCCGGGCCTGAGTGGGGGGCATCACCATCAGGTGCACGCCGAGAAGGAGCTGGAGAAGAGCCGCCCGGCTCCAGCTGGACTGTCTGCCCGCCATCGCCGCTGTGGTCTGTGCAGCAAAGTCACTGGAACCCGCTGGGCGGCACCTGCAGCAGCCGCCCGGACGCATTCGTAAGGACACACGGCGGAAGTGCGCTCGCCGCCATCTTGCTTAAGGATGGTCTGGGATGGTAAGAGAAGGCGCAGTCTGGGATGGAGTGCGTGCAGGAGGTTCGCCATCTGGCGGTGACGGAGGAGCGTGGGAATGTAGCGCGACCTCGCGCGGCAGAAAAGGCTTGAAAACCTCGTCTTGGTAAAGAGAGCCGTGAGCTAGGGTTTGCTTCTGCTCTGGGAGACCCGTACCAAGGTGGCGTTTGCACTGGGCGGAACCACGGCCGGGAGAGCGAGCGCCCACTCGGGTCGGGCCGCTGCCGGGCCTAACCCCAGAGCCAGAGTGGGTCAAGAATTGGAGCCCGGGGTGGGGAAGTATAGGGCGCCCCTCTGCAGGCCCTGCGTTCGCTTGGAGTTTGAGCCTTGGCCCTGTTCCCCAGGAGAGGTCTTGTTTGGGGTGCAGGACACAGCGTGTAAACCGCCCTTTGGACTCCCTGTGTCCTTGAGGTTGGTCCCATTCTAGCTAGCCTACTGCTCATGCTCCAAACAAAGCTTCCTTCATTACCCCTCTCACTTCCCTTTCCAGTCCTTTCTCTGTCTTCCTTCCCATCCATTTACAAGTTTTGGTTAGAGTCAAGAAGTCATGCCTCTTCCCAAAGGAGTTGAGTTGCACAGGATGTTCAGACTTTCCAAACACAAAGCATTGAATTTTAGGGGAGGAATTTTAGACCAGTGGGGAGATATTTTGGGATAAGGGGCAGGTGCTTATCATAAAGTAGTGTAGGTTTCGGCTGAATCAAAGGCCCTTCACCTGTTAGGATTCAGGTGGAGCCAATATGGCTTCAGGACTTTGTGGCAGTGAACTTGGAGTGACACATAGTTCCAGGAGATCAGATCATAGGTCCTTGGGATGATTTGATTGAGATCTGCCCACTAGAAGCAAATCAGCTCAGATCATCAGGAAACAAAGCTGATCAGAACTATATGTCCTTATCTTACCCTAGGACTCCAGATTTAATTTTTTATGTATACTTCCGGATCTAAACTTTGCTTCCAGAGTTGTCATGGAGGAGGCTGAGGAGTGAATAGAATAAAAACTGAAGGGAGGGTAGCCAAATAGTTATAGTTTTTAACCTTATTTAGTCAAAAGCCCCTTTATGAATCATGAAAATTTCACCCCCTCTCCTCCAGAAAAATGTCCACACATACACACATGCACACAAATGGAATTTTGCATATAATCCCAAGAGGTTCACAAAGACCATCCATAGGTTTCATAAATCAGCATCTCTAAATCCCTGGTCTAACCTACTCCTCTTCCTTTACAGATGAGGAAACAAACCCAGCGAGGAAGTGAATTGCCCAAGTTCACATAATTGAAGAGGATGGATTAAAACTGAAGTTCTCTGATTCCCAGTTAAATAGTCATTATAATACTGTTTCTTGCAAGCTGTTTCTTGCAGGCTGCTCCAATTGTATTGCTAAAGTATATTTGGTTGTCCCAAAATACCTTCAATAGAGAGATTTTTATCAAGGGAAACCTTTTCATATTAATGGAGAATGGCTAATTGGCAAAATATTGCATTTTAGTGGAGTTTTTTGGAGTGTTTTGTTTTAATGTGCCCCTTACTCTCCTTGCAAGCTAGCTATACCATTGTGCTTTTAGAATGTAAATCTTTGGCTCACCAAATTTTAGCAAGTAGAACAAAAATCCCTCAAATTCATCTTTTGCTTTTCTTCCCACTTGCTCAAGTATTTCTCTATCCTTTGTGCCTGCGAGTATCCTATGTAGGGTTGATGAAACAGATATTCTTTCTTTCTTTTTTTTTTTTTCCCCCCCTTAGAGGCTGGCAGGTACAGAGATTGAACCCTGAACCTTGGTGTTATCAGCACCATACTCTGACCACCTTAGCTAACCAGTCATCCCGAAACAGATATTATTTCAATTTTTATAGTGAAAAATAATTCTAGGAAGGTTGGGAATTAGACCACAAGTAGATGGTAGGGCCTGGAACTGAGCCCTGGTTTCTTGACCCCCAGCTTCTGCATATTTTCTACCAGTTGATTCTGTGGTCTTCACACCTTGGTTCCTAACTACAGATGCAAAAACAAAAACAAACAAAAAAAACCATGTAGATGGATAGATAGATGGATACAGTGGCCCAGACCAAATAAATCAGTATCTCTGAAGGTGAGGCCAGGTTTGGGAACCACTGCTCTACTCTGTGTTGGGGGAAGCAAACCTAAATTGAGGTGAGTTAACCATTATTTCCGTCTGGGGAAGCAGTTTTGTGTAATGGAGTGAGGGGTTTTGTTTTTTGTTTGTTTGTTTGAATTTGAGCTTGAGCTGTTGGATCAGTTATACCTGTATTCAAATTTGATACTTGCCTCTTGCTAGTAATTATCTCCTAAGGTTTATTGTGAGGATAAATGAAATAATACATGTAAAGATAAATGTATGTAGTAGGGCCTAAATAAATGTTACTTTTCCTGTCTCTCTTCTGCCTTCTATATCATCTCTGAACTCATAGGTCTGGGAAGTAGGAATTCATGGATTCTTTAACTTATGATTGGGAGGTTGAACAGAACTCTTGAGCAGGTATCCATTGGTCTGCAAGGTGATTCCCATACTTGCTATTCTTCTAGAACAGTGACAGAGGGAGCAAGAAACAGTTGCCCCGGTCCATCCTGAAAACCCTTCATGGGAATGAGTAGTTTCAGAGGAGTTATCCAGTAATACATGTGACTGTGGGCCGGTGAATTCTCCTATTTCTTCTTGCTGTAAGAAGAAACCTCTTGAAGTCCTGGAAATTAGAAATGTGACTTGGAAGATCCTCAAAGGTGTTCTCAGGGATGTTGCCTTCTGTAGAAGCCAGGGAAACACAGGAAAATCCCATAGGATGAGAGGCCTTTGACCTAACACCGCTTGTGGGCTAGTGCGACTATGCCATGGGGTTGGGGCTGGCAAAGGGGGACTTGTAATTCCAGCTGCTGATTACCTGACTGCTTGCCCTGGCTTGGGGCAGAAGTCCCAGTGGTTGGTCTCCAGAAACTCCATGGAGATACCACCAATAGGTTTTGGTCTTCCTCCGTTTTCCTTTCCCTTACCCTCTTTGTGTGGGGCTCCTGAACCCCCTGTAACCTGAAGAGGTAGCTCTGGCAGTGAAGTACTGGTAATGCTTCCTCCTCTACGTGAGAGGAGGCTGAGGTCAGCTCCTTGGGGAGTTGGTGCCCTGACCTGCTTGTTCAGCAGTTGGCTCTAGCCTGGGTCACAAGTCTCCAGGTGGGGCTTATGGGTGGTCCTGGTCCTGGGGAGACTAGGGTGCCAAGAGAGCAAGTTGAAGATCAGGAACGGATGAAGGAGGTTTTTCCCAGCTCTGAGAAGATAGGTCGTCAGGGCCCAGACCAATGTTATATCCTGAGTTCTTTGAAATCAGGTATCTCAGAGACATCTCTGACGATGGGGCTATGCTGGATCTTCTGGGGGTGGTGGAGCTGGATCAGTGATATGGGTGCTGGGACAGAACAGTTCAGGCTCCCAGTGGAGTCTCTGGTTTCTAGTTTCCCAGGACAGCTGGGGCCTTGTGAGAATTGGGGAAGGAACACATGCGAGAGGAATGGAGAGCCTTGCGCTCGTGACTGAGAGACGCCCAGACCAGGGTGGGGACCTTGTGAGGGGATGACCTTGTGATGAGAGGGAACAGGAGCAAAAGCTGAAGGCAGAAGTTTGAGATGAGGGTGTCAGAGGGGCTTTTCTGAAATGTGAAAATGAATACATGGGCAGATTTTGCAATACCACCCAGCCTGCTGCCTTCTCGAATCTCTGCTCCCCCTCCCTGCCTGTTTCCCCCTGCACCACCCCAGGCTTCCTCCCATCTTTCACCAAGCTCCTTTTCTATTTCAGCTTTCCCTGTCCTTTTCTCATCCTGTTCTTTCTGTTCCACCCCCACACCCCATGTCCACTCTCCCCCTGTTCCCTCTGTTCTCCCCTGGTGCCCTGTTCATCTCTGTTTCAGTCCCTCTGGCTGCCTGCCCTGGGCCCCTGTCCTTCTGTGCTTTAATGTGGGGCCCATGGGAACTGGAGTTCACAGCAAAACAGGAAGAGCCTGTGAGCAGGAAACTGGGAATGGGGCAGGGGGTGAATGACCAGCAGTAACCTCAGCTCCTCGCCTCCCACAACTCAACTGAAGCATCTGCAGGGCTCTCAGCCTCTCCCGCTGCAGTCCAGCAGCCCTGGCTTCTTCCGTCTCAGCACTTCACTGGTCCATCGGACCTAAGAGGCAACAAGACAAGAGTGCCCTGGACTCTGACAGAGGAGAAGAAGAGCACATCTGGAGCCTCATCCCTGCCTGGCCACTAGCTGTGTGGTCCTGGAAAAGGACCTCACATGAGCTTCAGTGTTCTCTGTAAAATGGAGCTCTTGTTATGTACCCCCTCCCTCCTGGAGCTGCTTTAAGGACCATAAGAGATAGTGAGGGGTTTGTGTATGGAAGCAAGCATGCAGAGGTTAACAGTGTACAGATTCAAGGAGATGGGAAGACCCAGAGCTGAAAGGATTGGGAGGGTAATGGTTGCTGCTGCCAATTCTTTAGCACTTACTATGTGCCACACATTGTGCTGTGACATATTGTTTAATTCTCACAACAGCCTTATGTGGCAGAAACTATTGTTACTATCCCTATTTTAAAGATAGGGGAGCAGGTTCAGAGACATTAAGTAATTTGCTCAATCAAGATCACACAGGTAATAGGAGACAGGGTTAAGAATTGAACCCAAAATCTGGGCCCAGAACCCAAATGCTAAATCAATGTGGTGAATTGAAATTGCGAGGATCATAGTTTTGTTGCTTGTGTATTCATTCAACTAACAGGAACACAGTATCTCTTCTGTTGTCTCCTCTACACCAGGCCTGTTCCAGAGGTTATGGGGGAGATGAAATCAATAAAACATGGTGTCTACCTTCAGGAATGGCTCCCATGTCCCAGGGAGCAGGGCAGCAAGGCTATGGCTACAGTCTCGTGAAATGCTTGATGGAGCCAGCATCACTTCAGGTGGAACTGTTCCCCAGCTGAGGCAACCCACATAGCTTCCCAGGTCCATCCTGGGTTGGCACTTGGGTTGCCTGCTGTCTGCTACTCCCACCTCTGTTTGAGGCCTGCCAATGCTCATAGCAGACTTCCTACCAGCCCTCTCTCGTGTCTCCTCCCCTCTCTGGTCCCCGCAGGGCACCCACATGCAGAGACTCCCTTCAAGGCCCAGCACCTGCCTATTCACCCCTGGAGTTCTACCAGCTTGGCTGAGGCCTGGGGCTAGAGGGGAGAGTTTCTTGGCCCCTTCCCAGAGGCAGGGGAGGAGGAGGGAGGCTGGGAAAGCAGGCTGGGGCTCAGTGTCGCAATTCGGTGCCGAACTGGGACCTTTGCTCCATGAGGTGTCTATGGAGGGGAGGGAACACTGACTCTTGAGGCTGCTGGGATTGGGGTGGGGGTGCCTAGGACGCAGTTCTTCTCTAAGAGCAGCTAAGAGCCATTGGGGTGAGGAGGAGAGGAAGGGGAAAGAAATGGAACTGAGCTGGTCTGCAGGGAAATGCGACTGTCTGGGTTGGGGGTAGGGGGCAGGGGTGGTGCTGGGCTGAGAGGGCGGCCGGCTGGGGAGGAGTCAGCCTGGTGGGGAAGCTGCCCGTGGGCGGGGGCAAAGAGGCCAGGGCTCCGTCGGCCAGGAAGAGCCCCCTTGGCAGTCCTTCCCCTCAGCCTTTCCCCACTTTACCGCTTCCCTGGGGCTCCTCCGGCTCCCTGTGTGCCCGGGCTTGCCAGCCAGCCAGCCGCAGAGACCTCCGGACAGGGGACTGCAACAACCTCCTCTCCCAGCAAGGGGGCTCCAGAGACTGCCCAGCCAGGAAGTCTGGTGGCTTGGGGATTTGGTGGGTCCGCTCTTCAGCAGTGGCCTGGGGCTCTGTGTGTGTGTGTCTGGGGTTGGGGGTGGGGGGATGTCCTAAGGATCTTGGAAAGGGGTCTCTGGAAAGAAGTGAGGGATGCTGATGATGGAAGCTGGGGGCAAGGATGGGGATTAAGGCACAGAACAACTCGTGAGGGAGAGGGGGTCCTGTATGTGAATTGGGGAGACTTGTGGAGGCGAGAGGTTTGTGCTAGCACCCTGGAAAGTGGCAGGAGTGAGGTTCTCTAACAAGCAGCGTGTTTCACTGGGTGGAGTGAGCCTTGATCTCATCTGGTCCTGCCCGACTGTGGTTGTCCCCAATGCTGGAGTGAGGGGAAGGGGCTCTAAGAGGAGTAGGGCAGATGTGCCTGAACATTCCTTTGTGGCCTGGAGGGGGGCTTTAGGGAGAAAGGGTGTCTTGGTGGCTGAGAGCTCAGATTGTAGAGTCAGAGACCAGGGTTGGAGTCTTGGCTGTACTACTGCCCAACTGTGTGGCCATAGGCAATTTGCTTAATCTCTTTGAAGCTCAGTTCCTTATCTGTAAAATGGGCTTAAGAATAGTCCTGACCTCATAGGGATATTATGGGGAAGGCATGTGAAAGCCTTAGTTTGGGCTAATATATGGCAAGTAAATGTTAGCTGATATTGTTAGTACTGATAAAAGGCAGGACCAAGAGAAGAGAGCTGAGGCCAGAAAGGAGTCCAGTTCCAAAAGAATGAAACCTGGGTTGTTCCTGCAGGATAGTGCCTTGGTAATGTCCAGGGCTCCAGGAAGACATGTCCTTGTGGCTGGAGGCCCCTGTGCCTGATGTTTCTCCTGGTAAGCTTCTTCGTTCCAGCCTTCACCCCTGAGGCCAGGCCTAAGGCCCCTCTCCTCCCTCAGTTATCAGACTCCTTCATTACCTGCATTCTGCCCTCCTCCAGAGAGCAGTCCAGAGCCATCTGGGTAAATCACCTCTGCCCTGGCTCTGTGCCTGGCCCTTGCAGGCACCTCCCTAGTCCTCCCCACTCTGGGCTTGCTGCTGAGAGTTGGCATGTCTAGTGCTTACCTTGCTCTGGCTTTGATGAGTTCTGTCTGCTCTCTGAAATGGGTGCATACCAGCCCCCCAAGGGGACGAAAATTAACATCTTCATTTAAGGTCTTGAGGTGCCAGGGGCTACAAGTGACTAGTCTTAGAGCCCATACAAACCCTGGGGTCCCAAAGCTGGGCTGGGGATTTGCTGCCTTCTAAGGGTGGAGGTAAGCATGCGGTTTCCTAGCTAGGATGCTGGGAAAGTTGAGCTGGGATGGGACCTCAGACCCCTTGTGCCTCTCTTTTGAGGCTCAGACTCTGCAGTGGAGCTGTGGGAGCCAGATGCACGCAATGCAAGTAGCCAGGCCCAGGGAGGCAGCAGCTGCATCCTCAGAGAGGAGGACAGGACACCCCAATCTGCTGGGGGTATGTTGGGGGTGGGGCTGGAGGCAGCAGAGCCCACAGCCCTGCTCCCCAGGACGGAGGCCCCTGCAGAACCCACAGGTGAGGAGTTTCTGGATTTGGAAGAGGTAGGGACTCCCTGGATCTGGGAGGGGTATCTTGGGGCTCTTTACCTTATAACAGTTAAGTCCAAAGGCTTTGTAGTCAACTAGACCTGAGTGATGTGAGTGTGAATTTTGTCTCTACCTTTGGCCTTTTTGAGTCTCAATTACCTTGTTTGTGAAATTGGAATAATAATTATGGTTGTTGTAAGGACCAATGCCTATAAAGGGCTCATGCAATACCCAGGACGAATGAGAGCTGCTGTTCTTATAACAGACTAGAGTTCCTATAATGAAGGGAGTGAAGGTCACTGAGTGCTCAGGGCAGTGGCGGAGTCGGGGAGAACATTAAGGCTCTTCCCTGTATCCAGAGCTCCATCCACAAAAGAGGAAAAAGGGGCCAGCCCCCAAAATGCTGGGGAATGAGCTGTGCAGTGTGTGTGGGGACAAGGCCTCCGGCTTCCACTACAACGTGCTGAGCTGTGAGGGCTGCAAGGGATTCTTCCGCCGCAGTGTCATCAAGGGAGCTCACTACATCTGCCACAGCGGTGGCCACTGCCCCATGGACACCTACATGCGTCGCAAGTGCCAGGAGTGTCGGTTTCGCAAATGCTGCCAGGCCGGCATGCGGGAGGAGTGTGAGTTCTGGGGCCGGGAGTGGGGAAGAGGCTGATGGGAAAGAGGGGTGCCAGGGTGTGAGGACAGACAGGTGCCTGAGCCTACAGGGGCTTCCTATCCCGTCTCTAAGCATGGATCGAAATCTCTTCCTTTCCTTTACCCAATGCTCTCTGCTTTTCTGGAGCCTCATACCACCCCTCAGCCCCATCCTTGCGTCCTGTCTCCCCCTCTTCTCCCCACCTCACGTCTGGCCGTGTCCTTAGGTGTCCTGTCAGAAGAACAGATCCGCCAGAAGAAACTGAAGCGACAAGAGGAGGAACAGGGTCAGGCCACATCTGTGCCCCCAAGGGCTTTCTCACCTCCCCAAGTCCTGCCCCAGCTCAGCCTGGAGCAACTGGGCATGATTGAGAAGCTGGTTGCTGCCCAGCAGCAGTGTAACAGGCGCTCCTTTTCTGACCAGCTTCGAGTCACGGTACTTGGCGGACCTGGGGTCAGGTGGCTGTGCCCAGAGCACGAGTTGGCTTCTTGATGTCCGACTCAAAGCAGTTTGTCTTTTCCCTCCTTGCTCTCCTGGGTAGCCTTGGCCCATGGCGCCAGATCCCCAGAGCCGGGAGGCCCGTCAACAGCGCTTTGCCCACTTCACTGAGCTGGCCATCATCTCTGTGCAGGAGATCGTTGATTTTGCCAAACAGCTTCCTGGCTTCCTGCAGCTCAGCCGGGAAGACCAGATCGCTCTGCTGAAGACCTCTGCAATCGAGGTGGCTGGAAAAGGGCGAGGGATGGACGGAGAACCAGAGTGGGATTATCTATGGGAGGGATTTCCAGACACCCAGATGGGAGAGCCAGATCCACTGGGAAGTAGTAATGAGGGGACTCGACCTTCCCTCAAAGGGGCCATGCGCCAAGACCAGCCCTCCTAGTCCCTGTTTCCAGTCTGCCACTTGTGTGCAGGTGATGCTCCTGGAGACATCTCGGAGGTACAACCCTGGGAGTGAGAGTATCACCTTTCTCAAGGATTTCAGTTATAACCGGGAAGACTTTGCCAAAGCAGGTGAGAACTGAGATTACTGAGGGATTGGGGTTGGATGGACTGGTGCTTTTTGTCGTGGGGCCCATAGTGACTACAGAGCCACAGGCCCAAGGTTGGGGTGGCTGGAAGTGGAAGGCTGTACTTGTTTTTGGAAGACAGAAAATTGGAATGCTGACAGGAGTCTCTCAACTCCTCCAAAGAGACCCCTGTCCTCTGTTGCTTTAGGCCAGAGGTTTTCCTTTTTTTTTGGTGGCTAGCCAGTATGGGGATCCGAAGGCCAGCGGTTTTCAAACTGTGTTCCAAGGAACTCGAGGGGTTTATAGAAGTGTCACCTTGGAGGAGAAACAGGAAGGCACAGGAATGCCCTTCATCCTTTCTTTGCCAAATAAGAAGATACATTTAAATCTGCATTATGTATTGTGCTGCTGCTTTTTTTCTTTTGTTGAGCCGGCTACCTGAGACTTCCAAGCTGCAAGACTACTCTGTGCTTTTGCATAACATTTTGCTTGAAGAAAGCATTTTACAGCTAGAAAAAAAAGTTTGAAAACCTCTGCATCAAGCCTTTTAGTAGTCAAAAATGAACATATCTTTCTCAGATGTGCTCTTTAGGATCATGTGGGTTGATTTCCCTCTACTCTTTTTCAATTGCTATTTCTGATAAACCAGAGAACTGGAGTTGAAACACGGCAAGCGTGCCCCGAAGGGGCAGTTGTAAGATAAGAATGAATGCTTCTATCCCCATCCTGTATTTGGAGTGTTTCCTCCAATTAGTTCAAGTTGCTGCTCTCTATCTGATGCATGCTTGGGGGCCAAGCAGAGGGGGTTTCCTCATATTCAATAGCTGGTAATATTTGTGCTATGGGAGCAGGGCTGGGAAAGGATGGAAGGCTGAGGGAGTTTTGGAGAGACTGTAACTGAGCCTCAACAGGAGACTGAGTAGTTTAACAACTGAGTAGGTCTGAAATATGGCTGATGCTATGACTCCATTCTCAGGGCTGGAAGAGCCTGGTTTCCAGTGCAGAATCATAATGCCTTCCCTGGTTTCTGATGACTCAGGCCAGCTCATGTTCCTCTTGTCCCAACACAGGCCACCCACTGAGCTTTCTAGGAAGGCCTCCCTTAATTGTAGAGCATGACAGGGCTGTGTTGGCACTTCTTGCCTGGTGTGCTGCCTGAATGTTTAGGCACCTAATAGGAGCAATGTGATGACTTTATGCAGCTTTAAAGCCCAGCCTACCCCCCTTCTCTACCAAACCACCTTTCCCCCAAATGGTTATTATCTCAGCCCTTCTTAACCATGGCCTTCTCCTCCTTCAGAATATCCTCCTTTCTGAACCCTTCCCAGTTCTAATGTCTTGGTGTTCCTTCAGCACTCGTGGACTTGTACTATCTGAATGTGCACCTATTTATAGATTTATTTATATAAGCAATTTCGATGTCTCATTTGCCTTTCATTTCTCATGTCCTTGGTGAGGCCTTGGGGAGAAGGAATAGGGGCCCTATTTTGTCAGATTTCCTTCTCCCTCTACATCCACTACCATGTATTTCACACAGCTGATGACTCATGATGTGGCCCGATGGCATTTGAGGCATTCGTTTAGCAAGCATTAGCTGCCCCTCACAGATGTACAACCCACTTTTAGAACCTCCTCTTTTTTTTTTCTTCTTTTTGTCTTTTTTGTGACTGGTAAGGGGATCGCAACCCTTGGTGTGGTGTCACCCGCACGGCGTTCAGCCAGCGAGCGCACCGGCCATTCCTATATAGGATCCGAACCCGCGGCGGGAGCGACGCTGCACTCCCAGCACCGCTGCACTCCCAGCGCCGCACTCTCCTGAGTGCGCCACGGGGCCAGCCCAGAACCTCCTCTTAATCTCTGTACAAAGGGGCTGTTTGGCACACTTTGGGGCTCTAAACCTCACTGAGAAATGCTTTATAAAACAGGGCTCGCCCATTAAAAGGATTGACACACACCACTTGATAAACATCAGGGTGAAAGTACAGGAAGTGACTAATCAAGAAGCCTGAAATGGAAAAATGTAGCAGATGGTTCTGAAAAGAAATCTGAGAAAGCCTAGGGAACAGTGTGAGGTACAAAGACTTTGACAATATGTAAGGGGGAAGTGTTCTCTAGGTGTCATGACTTTAGGTCATGGTTTGTTGCACTTTAGTCTTCTCAGCAAGAAGACTTAGTTCCATTTTTTAAAAATTTTATTATTTATTTAACAAACACTTATATGGTAGTTACCATGTATTCCATATATTATTCTAAGGACTTTATGAGGTAGGTACTATTATTATCTCCATTTTACAGATGCAAAAACCAAGGCCCACAGAGGTTAAACAACTTTCCCATGGTCACACAGCTTAGTAAATGGTAGAACCAGAACTCAAACTCAGGCAATCTGGCACCAGAGTTCACACCCTTAACCAGACTGCTTTATTCCCTCTGGAATGTGATACACGAAATGTTTCTCTGGTACTCAAACAAGTAAGGCCAATGGTTAGTGAAAAAAGCTTCTTTATAAGCTAAAATAAGAGTTGCCTCTATTTCTAGAATTGTGGAGCCATCAGGAATGCTAATAAGAACAACAGAATTATTATTATCATTTATTTCAGCACCTCCTATGTGCCAGAAACAGTGCTAAATGTTCTGCCTGCTTTATCATTTAACCATCACAGCAGTCTTATGAGATAGGATCAGATATGATTCCCATTTCACAAATGAAGCTTAGGGAGGTTAAGAAACTTGTCCAAAGGGCCGGCCCGGTGGCGCACTGGAGAGTGCGCCACTTGGGAGCGTGGCGGCGCTCCCGCCGAGGGTTCGGATCCCATGTGGAGACCGGTTCCCGCTCACTGGCTGAGTGTGGTGCAGGCACGACACCGAGGGTTGTGATCCCGTTACCGGTCAGTAAAAAAGACAAAAAGGAAAAAAAAAAAAAAGAAACTTGTCCAAAGTTACACAGCAGAGCCAAAAGACTTCTTAGTGAGTTCCTAATCGTTCCCTAAATTGAGGAATTGGAGGAGAAAAGGAAGGTCCTGATGCTCCTGGATTGCCTCGGCCTCTCTTCTTCCTCTCCAGGGCTGCAGGTGGAGTTCATCAACCCCATCTTTGAGTTCTCCAGAGCCATGAACGAACTGCAGCTCAATGATGCCGAGTTTGCTTTGCTCATTGCCATCAGCATCTTCTCTGCAGGTGTGAAGGAGGGGCAAAGGGACATTGAGCAAGAGACTTGCACCAAGGAGGGCTGCAGACCCCACAGGGCAGGAATCATGGGGGTGGAGGTCCTTGCTGCATTATTTTTAGATGGGAGAGGTTGGGTGGGGGCATGTCCCTATTTTTTGGTTGTGATTTGGGGTATGGAACTAAGACCCTGGCCAGACCTGCTCCTCAACTCTATTGGTGACCTATAGACCGGCCCAACGTGCAGGACCAGCTCCAGGTAGAAAGACTGCAACACACATATGTGGAGGCCCTGCACGCGTACGTCTCCATCCACCACCCCCATGTGAGTGTCCCCATGCCCTTTCCCCCCTCTCCACTGGCCCATTCCCTGACATACCTACTTTCCCTTCAAGAATCCCTCTCTAACTACATTGTGCACAGACAGTTCTCTGCCTCTCCTACAACTCCTCTACCCTTGCCCCCGCCTCCCTGCGGAGAGGCAAAGGCTGTATGTGTCCTTCTCCTTCCCCCAGGACCGCCTGATGTTCCCACGGATGCTAATGAAACTGGTGAGCCTCCGGACCCTGAGCAGCGTCCACTCAGAGCAAGTGTTTGCACTGCGCCTGCAGGACAAAAAGCTCCCCCCACTGCTCTCTGAGATCTGGGATGTGCATGAATGACTGTTCTTCCCTTGTATCTTCTGTGTTCTGGGCCGGATGGCTGAGGCCCTGTGGCTGCCTCCTAGAGGTGGAGCAGACTGAGAAGAGCAAACATTCCTGGGAGCAGGGTGAAGGAGATTCTCACGTGGCATTAAAGGACAAACAAAGGGTTGGGAGTTCTGTGGCTGCTGGGCAGTGGGAGGCCTGCTAAGGCTGTGCCCTATTTGAAGACGGTACTCACCCAACCAAATGAATGAACCTGGGGGCCACTTTGCACAAGTTTCTCCAGGGCCCTTATCATCCTGCCTCCACCACTTCCTGTTTTCCCCACAGGGCCCCAAGAGAAATTCTCCACTGTCACTCTGTGGCTTGGCCATAAATGCCTCCGGGCAGCCTCACTAATAGGTCTGGCACTGTTTGAACAGGAAGACCAAAATGAATACAAAATGAGAGAAACCAATTTCTGGTTTGGGAGTGGGGACACGGCAGCAGAGGAGGAAGCCTGGTCCTTTAGGATCTGCCTCCAGGCTCAGAGGAGGGAGACAAGTCACAAGTGACAGTCTTGGCAATGAGAGGGAGGCCTCCTTCTACTAGCCCTGTTGCACCATATAGGTGAATGAAATGCTGAGCCTTAGACGCCCCTTTCCCCTTTAATGATCCAGATGGGATCGGGTTGTCTTTTTGGGGGGAGGAAGTGTTGGATTTTCAGAACTAATATCCCAGCTGTGCACCTCACGTGCATGTGTATACTGCCTTAGTTTTTCCGCTGGCATCTGAAGAAGAGGGCACACCTGAAAGGCCCAGGGCCGGAGAAGCCCTCCTTTCGGCCCCCAGGCCTGTAGGACAGAAACAAAAGTCCCCCCAGTCTACAGGGAGGCTGCCCGGTGACGGGTTTGGCTTCCCAAAAGGACTGGACTCCATTTCCCAGCGGACACCGCGGCGCCGTTGGCACGCCCCTCCCTTGGTCCGAGCCCTGAGTAGGTGATACCGCGGCCGAGCCTTCCCACCTCAAGTCCCCCCGCCGCCCCTGAATTGGTAGGCTCCACCTCCCGGTAGCCGGCTCCCCAGCCCAGGCGGCCGGGCACTTCCAAACCGCGTGCGGGGGGAGGGAAGTGAAGCGTGAGGGGGACGGTCAGAAAGTCTCAGGGGCAGTTTCCCTTGAGAAGTCACTTTCAGGTTAATCATCATTTCTTAGAAATGAGCTCTGTTACCGTGTCGAATTAAAATCTGTTTGAGCAACCTACACGAAATGCATTCCTTCTGGTCCCCCCCCCCCGGACATGCCGCGGCACTGGGCTGGCCCAGCGCGCCCCATCCCGTTCCCACTCCCACACGGATAGGTGTGTGCGTAGCCGCCCTTCTCCCGAGCTCGGTTCCACCCTCCGGCGCGCGGCTTGGTGCAGCCCGGTCCCCCCGGGGACGAATGGTACGGCTCCGGCCCCCCTCGGCTCCCTTCCAGCTACCGGTCCGAGTGGTACGCGCCCCCCGGTACAGACAGGGAACTGGCGCCCGCTCGGAGCAGCGTCGAGCCGGGGAGCGACTGCCCTCCGCCGCCGGGGGACGTCCGGCCGGACCTGCCGAGTCCCCTGAGGCTCTGGAGGTAGGAGCGTCCGGGCCACCGGGGGCCCTGGACGGGTATTTGGGCAGTCCTGGGGGACTCAGGGGGTGCGTGACGGAAGAGGGGCTTTAGGAGGAAGGGGGCCGGGAGGCGTGTGAGTGTGCGTGGAGTCTCGAGAGGGAGTGGGCGGGGGTCCGAGGAGGGAGCGGGCGGGCCGGACGTGGGGGAGCTGCGGGATGCGGGCCCCGGCG